ACATTTTCATAGGTATAGGGATTCATCCCTCCCCTTCCTCTTTCTCCCTCGCCATTTTCCCCTCCCACCATTTACTCTCATATTATCACATTAGTATAGTCCAGGCAAAGGCAGAAAACCTGGTAATGCATTTTAGAGGTATATTAAAAAGTTTCATTGGGAGTCCTGCTTTTGTTCAGAAGTGGAGACACATTACTGCATAGCACCGTGACTTCTGTGTCCTGCCCACTGCAGCCGGCCAGGCGTGTAACCCCCGATCATGTGCTGGGCTTCCTGGGGTACTCGAGAGGACCATTCCCAACAGCCTCCAAAAGTTCATGAAGCGTCTGTGTATGGATTTCAGAATTTTTTTTCACACTCAAATATATCTTTTAGTCTCGCCTCCTTGATTTTTTTAGAGTGTCCTTCTATTATAAGATGCGCTGTATGATTCCTCCAACAGTGTTTAAATTAGAACATGAATTAACTATGCTATATAGCATTGGTTTGTTTATAGTATTATTAACACATTAATCACTTGTTAAATCTTTTCAAAACGTTATTAAATATTAATTCAGTTTCATGGAGCTGATATATCTTACCTTAGAATCTGTTAACTTATCATTGTCATAATCAGTATTAAAAGTTAATTTGTTGGGGCCAGTGCCATGGTGGAGCAAGTTAATCCTCCTCCTGCAGCACCAGGGTGCCATATGGGTTCCACTTTGATGCCCCGTTGCCCCACTTCCCATCCTGGGAAAGCAGTGGAGGATGGTTCAAGTCCTTGGGTCCCTGCATTCACGTGGGAGATCCGGAAGAGGCTCCAAGCTCCTAGCCTCATATAGTTCCAGCTCTGGCTGTTGCAGATGTTTGGAGAGTGAACCAGCAGATGGAGACCTCTGTTTCTCTTTCTGCAATTCTTTCAAATAATAAAAACTAAATAAATCCTAAATAAATCCTTTCCAAAAGTTTAATTGAAAAAGAAAAGTTTAATTGTCCCCCAACTCCTGGTTAATAGGGAAAAGAAAGGGGCTTTCTGACTAAGCTTCAGTAGCCCAGGCGGCACAGGTTTGTGCTTCAGAGTGCTTTTTTTTTTTGGTAAGTGGTGAGCAAGGTGGTAAAGTTCAGTGAAGAGAAATGCACCGACAGACGGACTGAGAGACCAGACTGTGCTTGGATTGGAGTTCTTGGGAAATGTGGTGGGGGGCTGGGCCCTGTTTTTCTTCTTACTTCCTCCTCCTGAGCTATTGCTGCAAGGAGAGCCTTGTGGGCCTGGAATTCCTGCGTTCCTCCCTGGACTTAACAGCAGAGCCCCCTTGGGGCAGGACAGCAAGAGTCCCCAGTGCCACTGCCCCTGGGAGAGGGCTGAGACCCATCTAATAGGGTTATCAGACAAGAACAGCGCTGCAGCTGTGTAGCTACTGGTGTACTTTCGAAGCTCATATCTCCATTTTTCCTTATTCCTTTGCATGAGAATTTCCATTTTCTTAAACAAATTCACATTCTGTTCCACCCTCATAGTTCATTTGAAGTTGGCTGTCTGCGATTTTGTTTTTGACGAGTTGTCTTCAACTCAACTTCGTAGCTTAGGGCCTCAGACCAGGCTACAATAAAAACATTTGATTTATGTACAATTGTACCATTCTGATATTGGAGCAGTAAGAATTAAATGGAAGCCACTGACATCTACCTGCTGTGTATGGAGCATAGCAAAAGGATGCTCTCATGTTAGGATAGGGGTTTAAGGCTGTTACTGAGGTGTCGTGGGGGGAAAGCCACTGCCTGTGAGCACAGGTGTGAGGCCCTGTTGCTTCACTTCCTAACCAGCTCTCTGCTAATGTGCCTGGGAAAGCAACAGAAGATGGCACAAGTGCTTGGGCCCCTGCATCCATGTGGCAGATCCTGGTGTGGCAGATCCAGGTGGAATGCCAGGTTTCTGGCTTCGGTCTGCCAGCCCTGGCCATTTGGGGATGGAACCAGTGGATGGAAGATCTCTCTCTGTCCCTCCGTCCATCTCTGCAACTCTGCCTTTCAAATAAATGTAAAAAGCCATGTGTGTGGGTGGGTGTCAGGCACACGACATTGTGTGCAGCGCGTGTGGGAGTTCCTGCCTCGTGCTTTCTCCTCCCCTCTTGCTGTCTACCCAAGTATGAGACTTCTTTAGCTTGGAGCCACCTGTTTAGCAGGTGAGATGCAAGGGGTGGAGGAGCTCTAGAAGTAAAGGTTTTCTGATCATGCTCCTTTGTTTTTTCTGTCAATGCCAAGTGACAGCTGCTTGCCTTTCCTTTCACTGTAGCTACCCATATTGCTTTCCTGTGTGTGTGTTTGTGTGTGTAATTCAGATATGGAAAACACTTATTAAAAGGTCCTGCATATGCATTTATAGGCAAATCAGACAGTCATAACCACCCCCCCCCAGGACAAGAAATGGAGCATCCTCAGGGCTCAGCAGCAGTGCCACATGTCCCCTCCCTTGCCAGCTTCGTTCCTGCCCTTACGGCCCCTCACTGTTAGTACTTTAGAAGGAGTGATTTACAGCTTTTCCTTGTAATTTTGTCACCTACGAATGTATCTCCAGACATACTTAAGCATCAGAGAAGTGAGTCACTCTAATTGCATTCGTTTGTGTCTTGCTGCTTTTGCTCAGTCTGTTTTTAAGGTCATTGTGTTGTCGCACACAGACACATTCGTTTTTGTTGCTGTGTCATGTTTCATTGTAATACTCAGCTTGGGCTGCCATAGCAGGTGCTACAGACTGGGAAGCCTCAACCACCAAAAATAATTTTCTCACAGTTATGGAGGCTGGGAGTGGAAGCGCTGGCAGGGTTGGCTTCACTTCGAGGCCTATGTCCTTGACGTGTGGACAGACATCTTCCCCCTGGGTCTTCATGAGCATGTCCATGTCCCATTTTCCTCTTCTTGGAAACGTACCTGGCTTGTTGGACTAGGACACAGCCTCTTTGAAGTCTTGTCTCCAAATACATTCCCACTCAGAGGCACAGGCTTTCATAGTAAGAGTTTGGTTCAGAGGTGTAATGCAGCCACTATCATTTGATGGATATTTGATTGTTTCCATTTTTAGGCTGTGATGAACAGTGCTCCTGTAAACGTGTGCATGCATAATAGTGAAGATGCCCGAGTTTCCTTAGGCCAGGGTGTGAAATCCCATCTTTGCTGTGAGTTGCTGGGCCATAATTTGTAATTGCAGCATTGGTAGATGAATCCAGTGTTTTCCAGAGCAGGTGTTCCACTGTACACTCTTATCAGCTGTGTGTGAGAGCTGTCTTGTTTCATGTTGCTAGCACTCAGTGCTGCCATTTTAATTTATGCCAGTAGATTGATATATACAGTTATGTCATTGTGGTTTAAGTTTCCATTCCCCTTATTAATAAAAAAATGTGAGTATCTTTTTGTTGTTGTTGTCAATCATTTGGATTTTCTTCAGGTACAACTCTTCAGGTCTTTTGGCAGTTTTTCTGTTGAATAATCTTTTTTTAAACTGATTTGTGGGAATGTTTGCATACCCTAGATACAAATGCTTTGTTACTTCCACCTCCTCATTCTAATCCATGTCATTTTGCATTTTATACCTAAGTGGGGGTTCAGTATGTGGTAGGACTCTGTTTCATTGTTTCTGGTGTGTTGATAGTTCATGGAAAGGAAGCTTCGTCTTCCACTGCGTGACCTGCCTGTGTCATCAGTAGGGGTCTGCAGGCTGTGTGCTCAGGCCTCACTTGCACATGCCAAGTGTCCTCTCTGTCATGGCCCTTTGCTCTGTCTCCATGAGAGTGTCATGCTGGCTTTAGTCCTGTTGCTTGCTTGTCTTCTGTTTTGGAATCTGATGGGACAGTCTCTCTCTCACCCTGCTGTTGGTTGCACTTCCCAGGTATCGCCTCAATTCTTCTTTTCTTTCTTTCTCCATAAACATTCTAGTCTCTGCCTGCCCTCTTCCATACCTGGACTGGCTAGGAGGATCCTTGCTGGGGCACTTTGGCTTGGTAAGATCAGTGTCGTGAAAGAAGACAAGGCAAAACCAAGTCACCTCTGGGGAACTGCTTTAAATTGAAGGGAACTAATGACACTCAGTAACCAAATGCAACTTGTGGTTTTGGACAAACTTGTGAAAGGATTGGCCAGATGGGAAATTTTGCCTTGAATTGTGTGTTAGATGATACTAAATGTGCAGTGTTAAATTTCCCCATGACTGGGAAAATCTTGCATATATGTTTGTTGTTAGGAGAGAGATGTTGAAGAATTGCACGTGTATCTTGATTCCTACAGCTAGCACAGATAAGTGGGAAGAGAGGAAGCAGGTAGAGTGATAATGGCAAAGTGATCCTTGGTGAATCCCAATGAAAGAATGCACTGATTTTTTTACTATAGGTTTACTTTTTATTTCCAAACTAGAAGTTAAAGAAGTTAAATTTTCCTTTGTATTTCAGGAAAGAGTAGAGAACCAGAAAAACTCCGTGAGCATCATCTCAGTGCTCTGCATTAGTTAGACTTGCTACTAAAAGCAGTAGAGGAATGGCAAGCAGGACTGGTTATCGTAAAAGTTCTCAGTTTGAACTTAATCAGTATACATTTAAATTAGACTGAAACAGCAAATATCTGTAGGTTGGCTATCCAAGTAAAAAACACATTCATGAGCTTTTTGTGCCAATTGTTGGTTTCTAAGAAAAATTTCCAAAAACTACCAATAAGAATTTTGGAAACGTGCATCATACTAAAAGGTGAGCAAAGTCATTCATAGGGGTTTATCTGTTTATCTGTTTGATTCATGAAGGAACTGAGACCTTTGTTTCCATAGCAGATGTCATCACAGTCTACAAGGAAAACAGAATTTTCCTTCCATTTTTAGTTACTGAAGTAGGGGCACGTGGGAAATCACATGGTTCTAGGAATTGTGCAGTGAGTCAGCCGTGCGTTGATCTGCTTTTCTGGATGTTAATGTGTGACTTTTCAGAGAAATGGCTCGTAAAGTGAAACATCTAACAGCAGCAACAAAAATCTTCCAACAGCCAAAGGAAGAGCCGAGCTGCTGAAGATCAGTCTCCGCGAGGTGGAGCTGGACCCTGACATTCAGCTGGAAGACATAGCAGAGAAGATTGAGGGCTATTCCGGAGCTGACATCACCAATGTTTGCAGGTATTAAACACTCCGTTCCTCTTAGATGTTAGTTATTGACTTGGCAAGAGGACCAGGCTGAAGGTCAGCATAGTTAGCATATGACATAAAGCAGCTGTTTCTTTGAAGTGCTTTCCTGTGGGTATAGATATATATAAAACTGCATTGGTCATGGTGAGAGAAATAATTAGATAGCAACATGGCCACACATGTTTTTGATTCTTTGGCTTTTAAGAAATCGTGTGTCTAACTTGGTAGTCGTGACTGATGACCTAAGATTAATTCAGCTGCATCCAGATGATGTGATGTCAGTTAGGTTCGGTTGGCACTGTTTGAGCACAAGCACAAGAATGTGGAAGATACACAAACATGCACTCACACACTTTTAAAATTTCCCTTTTAATTCAGTGGTATCATGAGTTTTAGGCAGCTCAACTCAGTAAAAAGAGCTTTTTTTTCTTAAGTTTTTATTTTCCTAAGCACGCTTAATGCTTAAAACAACTTCAACAGGTTTTGTTTAAAAATAATAATACCTGTTTTTCTCACTTCTCTTCCAGTGCATTTAGACCCTGGCAACTCAATAAGCTCACTACAGTCTCTACTGTGACTGTAGCGAAATACTGGAAATATTTACATTTCTTCCAGATCTGCACATTTATTTCTAATTGATCAGATAGAGCTGAAGTGGCATTAGCAAAAGTCATAATTGATACTTAATAGTCCCCAACTACTTAATACATAGTTGCTCATAAAGAATCCACGTAGCTAATTCTATATCCAGTCTATGTGGCCGTGTGCAAGTTTCAGAGAGAGAGATTTCTGGGTTTACAGACCCCATGTAAATCTGCTGTAGACATACTGTTGTGTGCTTTGAGTAATCTTCAATATGTTCGTTTTGAAGTCTGTAATTTAATATTTCAAAATCTGACTTCACTTTCCTAAAGTTCTTGGCTGCCTTTGAGGAACAGGTGGAGAAAACAGTGCTGTTTAAGCTCACCCTAGATGTGTAGGGCCTACCAGCTAGGCATTTCAAGTTCTATGTTCTATTTTTCTGCATCTTGTTTTAACCTCAAGATGTCTCTTAGTGAAATATTTTTAGGTAATATCCTAAAAACATATCATCTTTGAATGTTTTTTGCTAACTCTATTAGGATCTTGAGGGTGCTTAGAGCTTTTGCAGAAATGACCAGTGACCAACGGTGTGTTTTTAGGGATGCCTCCTTAATGGCCATGAGGCGGCGGATCAACGGCCTAAGTCCAGAAGAGATCCGTGCGCTTTCCAAAGAGGAGCTCCAGATGCCTGTGACCAGAGGAGACTTCGAGTTGGCGCTTAAGAAAATTGCCAAGTCTGTGTCTGCTGCAGACTTGGAGAAGTATGAAAAATGGATGGTTGAATTTGGATCCGCTTGAATTTTTGTCAGCTCTTTGATTTCTGATAGTTTTGTTTATAAAAATGTGAAAAAAAAAACCTGCAATTTTTTTTAAACAGGTTCAGAATTCTTCATTGGAGACTTGTACTTACGGGGGGGAAAAAAAACCCAAAACACTAAAACCACAAAGAATCCTAATGCAATTATAAGAAAAGCTTACAAAGAGGGCCTGCTGATCTCTCTGTCCCGGCTTCATGCTGACATCCCTTCCATGTCTCAGGCCTTTAACACCGGGCAGCCTACCAGTATGCAGGGAGACTGAAGGAAAAGACCACGTGCTGTTACAGGAACTTGTTTCCAAAACACGGAGAGGGACCTGTGTGTCTCACAGGTTTTTGTCTTTTGATTTGTTTTGATTCGTTCAGGTGTGAGCATGAGAGCCCTTTATATGTTGACTTTTCCAAAATTCATTACTTGATCTCAAGGGACAAATGATAGTAAATTTTAGAGGAATGAATGAATTTGCTAGTTAAACCTTCTGGTTTCCATCGTTAATTCCCATCAGTCTAGCCTATGGGTAAACTGCTTCTCCTCCCTCCCCATTTATCCTATTAGTTGTATAACTGTGTCTTGAGCTTACCTGAGACATAGCCTCATGCTCTGTGGTTGGCAGTCATTTTGCTGGGTTGTTTCTCTGGTCCTGAGTGTGTACTGGCGGTACTTTTGTTTCCTGTTGGGAAGGTGGGGAGGATTCTCTGCTACAGGAGATGCGCTTCTATGTTCTAGACTTCCAAGTCTGTCTTCACCGTCCTCAAAGAAGAGCCGTAATTTTGCTCCGCTCCGACCTGGCTTTATTTCTGTAAGGTTGGACTAATAACACCAAGGTACTCTAAGCAAGTCCACTCTCTATGGCTAATGCAAGACAAAGTCTTGGAAACTTTTCAGATCGCTTGTTTAATTAAACAGCATCATACATAGAATAATACTCATTTTAAGTTGTCAGGGTTTCTCCTTATCCAAGTTGAGAACTTGAAAACATGATTAGGATAGAAGTCTCACACATGCGCGCAGTTCGTCAGAACTAGACAATACAAAGCCACCAGAGGAGATAAGTGCCACGGATCTGGTTTTTGTGATTACATTGATCCTGTTTTGGTTATTAGGCAGTCTGTGCTGTAATGATCAAGCTTTCTAAGATAAAAATTTGGTGATGCCCTGAATTCTTATTTTTGGATAGCATCTGTTGGTTTCAAACTAAAAATAATGTAGCTGTTAGGTACTTTGAAAGAATATCTTCTAAAGATATTTCCTTTTCTACCTACTAATAGCTATCATTAATGCCTGTGTTCTTTTCAGAGAGGTTACCTGGTTCTCCTTATGCCCCAGCATTCATCTGAGGCTGTAGAACACCTCTTATTTGAGGCACAGATTATAGTTCAGGTCATAAGGCAACCTGATTTCATTGTCATTGAATTAATTTGTCTTGAAAACTGAGCTTTGTTATTGATTCATGAACTTTTAAAATACACTAATAAGTAACCCCATTTAAAATGACCCCATGAACTGTTGCAATCCAGTAATATATGTTTTTCCTAAATTCTTAGGAGTAATCAGTTCAAACTTGCTTGTATTTCACTTGATTAGTTGGCCTTCTCCTGGGCTTTGTGTTAATTATCTCGGCATGCTTTTAACTTTTCCTCTGAATTCTTTATAGATTGTAATTTTTTTTTTTTATTGCCAGGTAAGCAGTATTTGGAGACTTCTGAAAGCTTTTTTTTCTTTCCCCTCTTTTTTCTTTTGCTCTATCTATAGATTATGTGAGTGGTTTGTGTATCCTAAACCCCTTTATCTTCCTTGCCTATGCATTGTCTTCATTGCATAATAGAGTGTGTTGCTTTACTTTGAATGAGAAAGAATTGTTTGTTTTGTTCTGTGTGGTGATAACAGATGCATTTTCAGAGCAGAAATATTTTAACTGCTGTAACTTCTCTGAAAAACATGATCATCTTGGGTTCTGGAGCACAGGGACTCCGGGACTGGGTTGTGTATGTTCTGCCATGTGAACGTCTGATCTGATAGTGCCTTCGCTGGCAGACTCGTGTTGGTTGCCTGCTGGGGATAGAGTGGTTGGAGCCCCGTGGACGTGAAGCTAAACCAGACCGAGTTGTTCTGATATGACACTTTTTCGGCTCACTCTAGATAACTTTCACTTTGAAAGCGAGAATTCAGATCATAGATGAAGAGGCGATCTGGGTATACTTTAAGAAGATAATATATACACGATTATCCCCCCCCTTTTTTTTTTTTACTGTGGCATGTTTTAAAATGATGTCATACCCATTTGAATGATAGGACCATTACAGACCTGATTCACTGAGCCAATTTGCAATATTTTCAAAACTACATGTTCATCTGAAAAATATAAAAATGTTGCTTGTTTACTGTAAGCATTTTATTCTCCAAATTCCTTTTTAAATTGTTGTTAAGAAAATGAATCTTGGAGAAGTAGAAAGACAAATGGCTCTTAACCTTGACATAGCCCTCTGGTCGGCACCAGGGTAGCCATTTCTCAATGAGCAGAACACTTCTGGCTACTGACTCTGTCTCCAGAAACACCAAGACGACTCCTGAAAGGGCAAGGCATGCTGTGCTCTGGCTGGATGGCCAGAGCTTCCTTTTAGTTCCTGAAGTTCCAGTCCTTATGATATAATATTTGATGCTCAAAGCCGAAGTCACTAATGACTCCAAAAGAGAGCAAGCGAGGATCTGCTGAGTCCGCTGTGAATAGACGTACAGATCCATCAGGGTGTGAGCGCAGTCCAGACTTCTGGCGTAGTTGTCACTCTATGCTAATGTTGGAATTACTGCACTCTAGCTTTGGAAAGCCCGAGTTAATTTGGATTCCTTCTTTGGCATTAATTCCCTGTGCACATTGCTGAATCTATGATGAAACTCATAAAACAGTAACCAGTTGACATGTCTGCATTTGCCTGGTCGCCTCCTCTAACTGCAGTGAAGGTGCTCGCTGGAGCAGGAGGGGTGTGTCAGGGGGCTTCCTCGCCGTCACTGTGTCTTGGTCCTTGAGCCTGCCTGCCTGCCTGCCTACTCTCTACCTTCCATCCTTCCTCTCTTTCCTCTCTCTTTTCTTCTCTTTTTTTGCATGTTTGTAGATTCCCACTCCTTTTTCATCTTTTTTTGTTAACTGAATTACCTTAGGGGTTATCTGGTATAATAGACACAAAATTTTAAGGGTGAATGTTGACATTTTTTTTCAAGAAAAAAACTGTCCTATGGGCATGAAGAAAAATTGGTAGCTGCTGTAACTTTATTATGTCCCTTCATAGTCATGATTGTGTCGTGTTTTTATATTCAATATAATTTGTAATGTACATAGTATTTATGTGGATCTAAAAATCTATCGTCATAGGAAGAAGTAACAACTACATTTGAAAGGCATGTTAGAGAGTTTAAAATACTTAAACCTCACATGTTTTACTCTCATCTCCATTGGTTGTGCTTTTTTATTATTTTGTAGAAAAAGCTAAGAATTCTGTTGTAATTATTGTAAGTTACTTATTTATACTGTAAAACTTTTCATACTTATTTATTTAATTTTTTTGTACATTTGCTTTTAATATTGTTTCTTAATGTGGACACTGTGTGAGTTTTTTAAGAATCAAATCCTTAAAATAATAGGTGTGTTTTTTAAACATCCACCTCATTAACAATAGTTCTTTGAATTTTTATTGGAGGTTTTGGCAGCACAGGACTCCTTAGCCTTAATGATGCTTCTAGATTTCCAGTTAACTCTTTAATAAAAACAGGGAAAACATTAGGGTCATGTCACAGAATTCTCTTTTTATTTTGTCTTTCTCACTTCTCAAGACAAATGTTAAAAAGTTAAAACTTGGATATTGGATATTGATTCATTACCAAAAATGTGTAGATTTTTGTGCATTTGGAAATTTGACACAGCAACTAGGGAGCGAATATAGAGAAAGTCCCCTCCTGTAAAAGACGCCCTTTTGATTACGTCCAGACATAAAGTGCACTTTCTCCTTTGCAAAGTCCGAACTGAGTGCAGCCCTTTGGAAGCCTGCATCTTTGCACGTTGTTCCGAGTCTACCTCCGTTAGCCAAGCGCAGTGAACTGCCTTGGAGCACGTTCCTCCAGGGAGCAGACTGCTCCCGAAGCGCTTCCTTCCCGGCTCCCGCCTGCCTCCCGTCAACTGTTTTTGTCACTCCTGAAATGTTCCTTGCAGACATTTGTGTGCTGCCAGCTCCGTCTGTGGAGCATCTGGGTCTCCCTCCCCTCCTGCTGCAGCCCGTTTCATGATGTGGATGTATTTCATTCCAAGGAACCATTTCCAACACAGCATGTTGGCTTTGTGAAGGCACACTCGTGATGACATGACAGCACCGGCGCATGCTGTCTGCAACCAGAGTGGACAATGCGTGGGCGCAGTCAGGGCCCCGCAGGGTCACTACACGGTACAACAGTTTGTAAGCTTGCTGTTAAGAGCTCTGTTTCAGTGTTTATCTCCCAGTATTTGAACCTAATTTACAAAAACAAACAGGCAAATAAAAGAAGTTACTGAACGGTATTCATCAGACATGTTTTTTTTCTTACTTAGCATGTTGTGCTGCGCTTTGCTCGTCTCCTGAGCTTTGCTGTGTTTGTGTGTGGGGGCTGTAATTTGGTAATAAATTTCTAGAGCGCCGTTGTCAGTATTTTCTCAGTGGTTCATCTTGATGGATGGTCGCTGGCACGCTCATGGCTACTGAAGGGAGCCACAAGCCCCTTGCTGGGAAGAAGTGCCCTCCCCCAGATTGTTGTTGCTCATAAAACCGTGTGCTCTGTACCTGATCTTTTGTGTTTGTGTGCGTCAGAAGTCCCGAGGTTGATGCAGGTAAGTTGTGTGATTTTTTTTCACATGATCTAATGGGTCTAGTAACTGCCCTTGTCTTATCTGTGCAGCACTGTGCTGCAATGATGTTTCATGGGGCCCATTTTCCACATGACTGAGTCTTACTTTATGACCCTGCCGAATGATTTGCTTTTAACTGATAGACTCTGTTTTTAGAGTAGCTTTAGGTGTAGGAGAAGTTTGAGCCTAAGGTGCAGAGTTTCCACGTAACTTCCTCTCTGTACCCCTAATCTCCCTTTTCAGTAAAGCATTGGGCATGACTTGGGTACCTTTGTTCCAGGTGCTGAGCCTAAAGGGAGCCACAGTCGTTACTCATATTCCTAGCTCCCACCAGGGCTCACTTGGTATTGCCCAGTCTCAAGGGTGCTGACCGAAGTGTGACGTTGTCTCTGCACCACAGCAGTATCGCACAGGACAGTGCTGGTGTTCTAACTTGCTCTGTCCTGCCCGTTCATCTGTGCGCCTTCTCCCAACCCCTGGCAGCCACTGAACTTTGATTATTGTTATTATTACTATTACTGTTTTTGTTCTTAACTTTTTTTTTTTGGGGATGCTGCTCCATCGGCTCAGGGATTTCCCCTCTCCTCATTCCCATCTCTCCCCTGCCTTCCCCCATTGTTTTCCCCTATGTTGTTACAGCAGTGTGGTCCTTTAGCAACAACCACAAGTCCTCCACACCACTGAACGCTTAACCGTCTCTCTAGTTCACTGTTTGCAGAGTCATACAAGGGGAACCATGTGGTTACGTAGCCGTTTCAGACCCAGCAGCGTCCATGCAAGGTTCCTCCTTGTCTTTTTGTCAAGTGATGCATCCTGTCTTTCTGGCGCTGAATTATATCCTGTTGTGTGGATTTGCCACGTTTATCTGCTAAAGGACATACTCATTGCTTCCAAGTTTTCCCAATTGTAAGTAATGGTACTGTTGGCATTCATGGGCAGCCTGTTGTGTACACGTCAGTTTTTAACCTCACTTGAGTAAAAATACTTTGAGCTTGGTTGCCTGCAGTTGTGGTAAGAGTGGGTTGTTTTTGTACTGTTTATGTTGCCAGTGTCAATGAGGGTGGCTTTTCTCCACATTTGCTGCAGCGTTCAGTGTTACCAGGATTTTAAATTTTATCATTCTAAAAAAATAAAAAAAAGAAAAAAGAAACAAGTTTTATCATTCTAGTAGATGTTTTGCTAGTAATGGTATCTAGTCATTTTTTGTTTTTTTCAGACAGAGTGACAGAGGGAGAGAAATGGGAGCAGTTATATATGGATGAGATAGACCTTTTTCTCTTTAAAGACCCACTTCAGCCGGGGCTGGGCCTGGCTGAAGCCAGGAGCCAGGGGCTTAATCTAGGTCTCTGCTATGAGTGGCAGAAACTCACATGTTGGGCCAGCATCTGCTGCCTCCTAGGTGCAGGAAGCCAAAACAGAAGTGGAGGAGCTAGGACCCAGTGCCTGGCACTCTGCCACGGACACAGGCGTTCCAAGCGGCAGTTTAACCTGTGCCACCTTACCTGCCCCATCTCGTTGTTTTAATTTTTATTTCTGTGATTACAGTTAATGTTGAACATCTTTCATATGCTGATACGCTCCTTACATAAAGTGTATGTCCCTTGGGCCGGTCGCCTGGTGCTGATTCAGTCACATCTCAGGGCAGCGTGCCTTGGCTGTGCCCTTAGCAGTGGGTAGAGCAGCAGCAGGGCATCTGGCCTCCCCCCGGCTGGTGATTGAGCATTGAGCACAGGCCATTTCCACTGCTCTGTGCCCCACTGCCCCACTGCCGGCCTTGCCGCCTCATGTCCTGCGTGCAGCCCTCAGTGCAGCAGGGGTTGGATTCACAGTCCTGGTTTGATTTTTGGCTCCCAGAAGTGTTCAGGTACACTGAGTATGAAATAGACTTGTGAGTGTAAGGTGTGTTGCCCTGCAGTTGTGTTATAGTTAGAGATTTATGGCCCCTAGAAGCAAGTATAATTCCATGGTCCCACTCTCCT